AATGAGGGGATCCAGATTGGAGGCTCGAGTCAGATAAGCCGATCGAAAGAGAGTGGGTCGGGGTGAATAGCAAGTGTGATTAGGCCACACTAGATTTGCCACAAAATAGCACGCACTTTGACGAGTAGAATGTAAACAAATGAGAAGTTGTGATAGGCCGGGAGTTGGATAAGAGGGTAAAGAGTAGTTAGATAGGCCAGGACATAAAGAGGAGTGATAGTGTAACTGTTTTCGACAGAACTCTTGTCGAGGGATTGACTTTTCTTGTCTCTTTGAAGAGTTCATAGCTTGGTGTGGGGAATGGCAAAACTCACTGATGATGCTGACTACGATGCTGGCGAAAGGTTTGAGAATGTACCAAGTCCACTGTCTGATGCTGTGAATCATGGCAACTACTATTGCAGACGACTTCGGACCAGGTGCGTTCTACTAAGTCGCCCTGACAACAAGACCAAGATGCGAAAACGAGGTCAACCCACTTCTATAAATCGAAAGGAGACTGCGACTATACCAGAGACCACACCATCTTGGTCTTCATACCTTCAATATTTCTTTTTTTAATTTTTTGTTTAAAAGCGTATTTTTTACATAATCATATAAGCAGACCTCATGTTTTCATTGGATTTCACATATCCGTGCTTCCCAACAGCTATTCTCATCCAGGCGAAACTGGACGGCCGTTTCGAGCTCACCTGAGCCTCATCCGCACCCCAGGCGGTACTCACACTCAGACATTGTTAGCGCAGCATAAATCTCGACACTTTGACCACTACTCCAGACTCCCACGAGTACCCTTTGATCAAAGGGCAGAAGTACATTTCAAGGAAGCCTAGACCTTTATCATATCACATTTCAGTAATGAGAGTGTCTATGAGACAAACTTTTATTCGCTATTGCAACCGACTATATTACCTATTTTTAATTTATAAGTAGACGGCGATGAGACCTAAATGAAGGAGAAACTGCTGTCAAACCCAGTCTGGATGATGAAACCTTTTTTGGAAGCAAAGCTATTTGAAATTCAATGCAAAAGTGAATATGGGACAATTCAACGACAAGCCCTTTAACACCTTAAACGAAATAGGGTGATTGAGCTCATATATTTTTGATTTCCTTAAATTCCGATATTATCGGTATCCCCTGAATAAAACGATAGTCATCCCCGATCAAACCTGACAGGTATTCAGTATTTGGGAGCTGGCTATGAACCTATTAAAGCATAACCGATGTTACAAAGGCTTACTCATACAGAATATATGTTTAAGTGATTGATCTCTTTCAGTCGGCTAATTGTATATCCCTGACACTAGGACTGTCGCCATCATCAGATCCTTCATCTTGCTTGTCTGTCTCTCATATACGAAGAAAAGTTGGGTTTCGAGGAATCTCTTGTTTCATAACTGTTAAGATGACTCCCATTTCGAGTGGAAGTGTTGGGTGAAGAGAGGCCAGATGTAGAGTATATATCCCACTTTTTAGGGATTTGCCGGTGAGTTTTCTTGACTCGTTAGCTTGAGTTTAGTTGTGACGATCTTACCTCGCTCTGATGATGTCCGTCATATGACGGGTGAAAGCTTATCACGTTTTCACCGGAATCGAAGGAGATTGCCTCGGAAATAGCGTCAGCATGAGTCTTCCAGTAAAGCCAATCGACAGCTGGTCAAGAGAAACCCGCTTCGTTTTCTGCTCAAACCGACATTCAAATCTCTTCACCCAACACTTTCACTCAAAATGGCAGTAGGCTAAATAATCATGTCTGTCTCTCAGCCCAAAGTAGTAGTTTGGCTGTCTACTTATTAGTTATGTAAGTAGATTGATTCAAGGCTGAATAGAATTTCAACTTTTCCATAACCCTTACGCAAGTTTCTATTTCGAAGAGACTGGTTGGTGTCAACATCTTCTTGATCCAAGACAGCACCAACCATGCGATTTGCTCAGCCTCATTGACTATGGCCTAAAGAAGCCTGATTGACAGACGTGAGCAGAGAAGAGCCCTCCTCCCGCCAAATTGTGGCCTTGTTCTTCGCACACTTTTCCCGTCCACTTTCAGTGACTTTGATGCTAGTTGTCCGTCCATTTCCGTCCACAGTCCAACGGATTAAGCAGAATCAAATTTGCATACCAAAGACCATTATTCACTTGATTGACGGACGCGTGGATTCGCCCTAGTCGCCTACTCGAGAAGAGTAATTGATAGGATTGTTGGCCAGTTGAGTGCTTCCTGCAGCTCTGGGGGCCGTGAGAGAAGTTTGCAGCACGTCTGACAAGCCAAGGCCAGGCCTTACCACCAGCGGTCTTGAATGGCCCCGGCGTCCGTCTGACCATTCAGCCGATGCCCCCACTTTCCCGGTTCTCCCCTTTTCACACCACTCTCATCTTCCAACAAGAGCTCTTCTCACTTTCCATACGTCTGCGACAAAGCAACTGCCATTTGCCATATGAAGATGGACAGTGGAGAAGGCAGCACTCTCCAAAAGTGTATCCAATAGAACTATTGCTCTCTGCGCACGTCGGGCCGACCAGCGGATTCAGTAACTGTCCAAGAAACTAATCGAATCGCTTAGTGACAAATATGTACAAGAGTTGACGAGTAGGCTTTAGAGACTACCAGTAAATGAAATATATACGAAAGAAAGTAGTCGTCGATCGCTATAGCAAATATAAGACCTATGCGAGCTCGAAACTGCAGTCCATCCTGGATGAGAACACCTTTTGTGAAGGCAGGGTTATGTGAAATTCAATGGAAACGTCAGCTCTACTCATATCATTGTGGCAAAATTCAATTACCAGACTATGAACCTTAAATGAAATAGTGTGAACACAACTCATGTAAGAGTTAACAGGTCGCAAGGCCAGCTAGGCAAGACGGCGGGAAATTCGGCAAGACGAGTCAGTCTGGAAGCCTACTTACGTCGAAGATAGGCTAACTAGTGAGTAGTATGTTGCTATTCTGCTGAGGACACTATAAAAGCTTGTAGGCAAATATGTCACCATACCCATCTTCCAGGCTGGGCCTGCTTTCCTGCTCTTTCTTTGTCCTTCATGTACTCCCCTACGGTCCGTCGTGTCGAGGGCGAGTGATTCGATATAAATAAAGCCTGGTCGTGTTTTTCGATGTGTCCCCCTTCCTGACTTGATTTCATACCTCACGCCTAATGTTGACTCGTCCGTCGGCAGGGCTGAAGGTGGCTAACTGTATGCTGGCAGAAGTGGCCGACAATCGAGAGTGGATGAGTGTGAATGAAAGAGTGGTAAAGCAACTGGAAGTGGGGGTGGAGGGGCGGGGTGGGGTGAGAAAGATAGGGGGCAACTAACACACTTTGCCTGGAAATGTTCCCCTATTTCCTCCTCTCTGCGAAACACGCAAGTCAAGTCGGGCCTTGGACTACGACCACCGCCTTTTTCACGCCTCCCAGCGACGTCTCCTGGCAGAGGCCGTCGGCCAAACAAAGCACGAGCTAAGCACCGGACGCTGGGCCGCCCAACTTCCTCTTCTCTCAGTCGCTTCTGCTCTTCTCCCTTTCACTGCCGTTTGCCCTGATCCACCTCTTCTTTCCATCGCCTCACAAGCAGTGAAATCTCCTATTCTGTCTGCTCGCTGAGAGCACTCCACAAACTGTCTTCACTTGGCCTCTTGGCCTCAGTCCTTGCTTGCCAAAGTCACTCCACCTTCACTTGCCCGGTCGACGGTTGTGCCACCCAACCAGTCCTCACACAAACAAGCGCACAGGATAGGTCGCCTTGACAATTAGCCAACAACAACTGGCCAGACGATAGGCCAAACTCTATTCATGCGATGTTATTGATGACCCAAGCTCAAAAGTATATTCCTCCACATTTGGTACATTTTTTACACAAGTTCACTAATACGCAACGTGGTGTTTCGGACATCTTCCGTTTCACAACACTTTTAATACATGACAAGTGCTCCCGGGGTTCGCGTCAATTCGGAGCCTGGTTAAGCATGCTTTTTGCTCAGACTTTGGTGAAAGCAGAAAAGTTGTTTATGGAGTTTGTTTTTTGCATTTGAATGGATGCAGTGAGCACATGATGGGAACTGACCGCCAATCTACCAATCAGACATTGGTTATTCAACAGTTGAACTGACCGCGTTTTTGTAACTTTCTCGGGTTTTCTGAGAGAGAACACAGTGCAAGATAAACTCTTTGATTTCCTTCAGAAAGCACGACTAAGCTGAGACAGTAAACTCTGGCCAACTCTAGACATACCAATACTTGATTGATGGATTTAAAAGAAGAGACTTTAAATAAAACTGCATAAAATTGACACAAACCCATTTCGGTTCTACTTCAAGATATCAAAATTGGAATAATGCACAATCCGAAAGCTCATCAACGAAGTCATGTTGTTTGGTTTGAAAGAGCCTGAGTCATATGTCGTCGGTTAAAGTAGTATGAGGACTGATGTTTGGATTTCCTACAATCCAATCATCATCATCATCAGCACCTTTCAACGGGATTCGAAATCGGCCCATCTAAGTCAAATGTCAACCCTATCACAACCAGGAGGACCAATAGTTCGCAGAACATATGTGATTTTTAAAGCGACCTAAGTTATTCCAAATTTAGCGACATATATGAACTCAGCTTCTTATCCAAGAGCTGCTGACAATTTCGAAACTTATTTATTTGATGTATCTAATATGTCTGATTATTGATGGACAAGCCAACAGGAAACCTTCTTCATCCTTTACTCGAAAGTATCACAGGTTAATTGGTTTGAGCATACGTACTAATAAAATCACACACTTTGTGTTCATTTGTTATAGCAAATACAACTTTGCCTCATCGACAATCCAACCACAGAACTGTGACATCGGAAATATAGGGTCTACTCATGTGATTGTGAGAAAGTTCAACTACCAGTCCTTGAGCAGCTGAAACATGCATACTCATACAGGCAATACATCGTCATATGCTAAAATAGATTAGCCGAAAAGAGTGTAATAGGAAATAGACAATGCAAAGTCGGTCAGCCATGCCGACCTAGTTTTAGTTTAGCTGTTATAAGCGAAGAAAAGTTGGGTTTCGAGGACTCTTTTGTTTCATAATTGTTGAGCTTACTTCCATTTCGAGTGAAAGGGTTGGGTGAAGAGATTCGAAGGTAGGTTCCACCAGAAGAAGACGGAGGATTCCTCTGACCAGCTGTCGATTGGCTTTACTGTAAGATTCATTCTTAGCACCTTTTCACCGGATCGAAGAAGATTGCCTCGGAAACAGCGTCAGCATGAAGCTTCCAGTAAAGCCAATCGACAACTGGTCAAGAGGAATCGGCCGTCGTCTTCTGGTGGAACCGACCTTCGAATCTCTTGACCCAACACTTTAACTCGAAATGAAAGTAAGCTCAACAATTGCAATAGACGTTACTTAATTTCGATGCGATTGGCTTTCGAGATTACCAACAATTTTGGAATAAAAACTGAGATTTCGTCCCTCATACCACTCGACTGATAGATGGAATTACGGAGAAGAAGATAATACAAGTGAACAGGAGGCTGGGATAAGACTCATCTCGTATGGAAGTACATGATGAAAATATTCGTACATTAATCTCACCAGAAGACGTCGGTTGATTCGCGTTGTACTGCAGCCATTTGGCATTCATACGACGTTCAGGTTGATACAGTCCACGAGACATCCTCCAACATTTCGGTCAAAGCCTGGCTGAGCTTTCGTTCTGCTTACTTCTATTTCGAGTGAAAGTGTTGGTTTAACATATTCGAAGGTCGGTTCCACCAGAAGACAACGGCCGATTCCTCTTGATCAGCTGTCGATTGGCTTTACTGGAACCTTCATGCTTAGCACCTTTTCACCGGAATCGAAGGAGATTGCCTCGGAAACAGTGTCAGCATAAATCTTCCAGTAAAGCCAATCGACAGCTGGTCAAGAGGAATCGGCCGTCGTCTTCTGGTGGAACCAAACTTCGAATCTCTTCACCCAACACTTTCACTCGAAATGGAAGTAAGCTGAACAATAGCTGTTATAAGACAGAAATCTAGTTCTTATAAGGTCCGCAAAAAGTCTGATGTAATTTAAGTACAGCTTTACTGAGGCCGTGATATAGTGTCCAGAACACTTCATTGCCAGTTCACCCCTGTCGTCAAACTCCTGCGGGCTGAGAAAGATTCATCACTTTTTTCTGGGGTGATCGGCGCACGAACAACTTCACCCATCAACTAAACGAACTCTACTTCCTTCGAAATACACGTCTTACGGCTCTTTTTGAGTCAGGACCAAGCCATCTTCCCTTGCGTTGAGTGTGATTGCGCTTCGACATTACCAACACTTCTTAAATATTAACTTACTTACGCTGTCACTCAAGATAATTTCAGGATTGATAGAGGAGATTTTCCACAATACTACGAGTATGACTCATGTTACCGATAGATTTCACTTAACCCAAGCTCTTATCCAAGCTTTAGTATTCATTTTGTAGTATAATAACACCGAACATAAATAGTGGTTAGCATAATAAACAATCCCACTATTAATGTGGTCAGGAAGAGTACTCGTTTGAATAATAGTTTCGGTCACCCTAGTCGCACAATGTGATGACGGACTGCTCGTTGAATTTTTTCACAATGATATGAAGCCTATTCATATCGTTGTGGGAATATTCAACTATTATCTTATGCGACCTAGGTTGACTGAAACTATTACTCATGATTTTACGATATACCAATGTAATACTTGCTTACCTTGAAAGACAGCTCTGCTCTGCGAGCAACTGGCACGCTGGTTGTGTGGAGGAGTGATTATGCGTCACAATTTAACGCGCCTGACCCAAAATTGCACCACTTTTGGGCTGCAGATGAGACACAGGTGAGGGTGGATCGGATGATGAGGATGGTAAAACTGCTGTACTTCTGGAATGGGAGAACCTTTCGAGATAAAAATTGCTAAAGGAAATTCAATGTCACTATAAGGCCTATTCATAGCAGTGTGGGAGAAAATCCACTATCTATTCTTGAGTCGTCATAAGCGGTCTAAACTATCTAAATTCATCTTCCTAATCGTCAGTCGCTTAAGTAATTACACAAACAATTGAGTTCATTATGACAGCCATCCTTTAAGCTCAATTCAAAAGTTTTTGGATCTGTTAGTCTAAGGGGTTGCCCGAATTCACATATCATATCTTTTTCTAGAAGCGCTAAGGAGTGATGGCAGAAATTGCAGTACACTCAGACTGAGAACAGTATTTTGGGGCGCCTAGTGCAATAAGCCATAACGCAACGCCAACCCTCCATGCTACCACCTACAACAAATGGACTATACTTTCAACTCTCAGATTTATGATGCCCGCAAAGCACTAAACACTAGCAACACTCACTTGCCATCACCTTGACTCCGGTCCATATACATAATGGTCTTGTAAAAAAGACTGAAAATATCGTGACAAGCGGTTCCGCCTGAGGACATGTGTCGCCCTGCTGCTTGCAAGTGGGTCTCATGAAATCAACCGTCAGGGTGGGTATGGCAGGAGGCGTTTCACCTGGACTCGCATTCCCACTTTGCTTGTGTTTCACAACAAAGCGGGCTGTGGATAAGAAGATAGAACTCTCCAACACAGAGCACTTTTTATTTTTATCGTTTAAAAATTGGCTTTTGAGACTGCCGGTAGATCATGTATATGAGGTGATAAAGAGACTGGCAATTGAATTTTCCCAAAATCATATAAGCAGAGCTGACGTTTACTTTGAATTTCACATTGCTTTCCTTTCCCAAAGGTAGCCTCATCATGGCTGGAATGAACCATAGCTTTTAAGCATCATCGGCACCCCCAGCGGGACTCAAACCATGGCAGTACAGTATACAACCACAACATATTGACCACTATGTCA